AAGTTGTGCTTCGCGAACACGAGGCTTGGGCCGCGTTCGCGAAGGGTATCACTGGGCAGACTTATAAGTGATGTAATTTCCGGACTTAGACCCATTATTTCATATTTTAAGCCCTAGACTTGGAGATTGGTGGTATTTGATGAGGATTTTCACACAAGGCAAGAGAGTAAGTTATTTCTATCTGATTTTCACATTATATCTTGTTTCTCCATGGATTATTACACATATAATGGACCCCCCTCCCACGTAGAGAGGGGTCCATTATCTATCGAGTTTTGTACCATGCCCCACATGTGAACAGAGGCGGATTTATGATTCCTAGTGTATGGGTGCACTACTAAAAAAAGGAGAAAAAATGTATTAAGTGAGAATTGATCCCTATTCCTCTTGGTAAATAACTCAACCTTCAACCAAGTGTATCATTCAGCCTTCTTGGAGCATGGGTCCAACAGTTAATATTATGCAAATTTTAGAAAATATGCACATAAAATATCTGATTTACGGAGAGACCTAGGTTCTAGCGCCCCATAATCTCACCTATAAATTTGCTCCTGCCTGTGAAGCGATAACCTATCACTTCATCACTTTAAGTGACGAAGCAATGGCTTTTAATAACATTCATGGCAAGCCGGTAGGAGACAAAAAGTTGATTAAGAATCACATTTTGGGCTCCTATGAGAAGCTGTTGATAGAGAATGAAAAATGGAGAAGTTTATAGGAAGATAACATGTTGGCTGTTCTTCCAGATGATGAGAGAGATTGCCTGCAAAGACAGTTTGTTGCTGAGGAAGTGGAATCAGTGTTCAACACTTTGTAGGGGAGAAAGCTTTTGGACCTGAAGGATTCAGTATATCCTTTCAGAAATGTTGGCCTACTATGAAAATGATATAATAAAAAAATTTGATTTTTTTTACAAAGAAGACACTTTTGAAGGAGTTTTAATGCCACATTCATAGCGGCTTACACCAAAAGAAATTTCTATGGAAATAAAAGATTATAGGCCCATCAGCATGCTTGGAAGTGTTTACTAAGGTCCTTACTGACTACTCGAAGATGGTGATTAACAAATCTTTGTGAATCAGATTGCCTTTATAAAAGATTGGCAAAACATTGATGCTGCTATGTTGCTAATGAATGCTCGGACCAGTATTTGCAGATAGACAGGCATGGGGTAACCTGTAAATTGGACTTAGGAAACGCATATGACCATGTGAAATGGTCCTTATCCAAGGTGATCCACTTTCACCTCATCTCTTTGTCATGGTGATGGAAGCACCAAGTCTTTTGCTAAAGAGGGCTAAAAGTCTTGGATGGCTTGAGGGTTTCCAGATTGATGGTAAAGGTGATGAAAAAAACTGGATATATGACATATATGAAATACTTGGTTTTACAAAAGGAAATACTTGGTCTGACATATTATATGCTAATGATTTCCTTTTGTAAGGCCAAGTATTTCATCTTAGAATCATCATCTTGACATTTTAAGCATTGTCTGGTCTTAAAACTAATCTGGCCAAGAGTAGCATTTTCGCTCTAAATGAAGAAAGTATTCTTCTGGAGCTCTCTGATATACTCGGATGAAAATAGAAGCTTACCCTGCTACTGCTTATTTTGATAAAATTACGTAATAATACACTCCAGAAGTTAACCTTGCAACCGGATGACCCAGATTTAAGTTTACAAATATATAGCCCAATATTATTTGGCTTAGATCCGAAAAAAACCTTTATGCCCTTTTTATTCCGACGCAAATTTTTCATGGGTTTTTGTTCTATTTCTTATCCAAGTTTATACATTCCTATCCCAGCTATAAACATACAACAAACAGACCTAAAATCTCTTATTTTCCAAGTTCTATATAGATGAATTTGCTCCAAAGTTTATGATTTGACAAAAAACTCAACAAGAAAAGAAAAATTTGAAAATTCATCATTTAGTAGAGAAATCAACGAAAAAATTAACTTTATATATAAATTGTTAGATAAAAGTGAGAAAAATACAAAAATTCTATTTTTCAGTTTTAACTTCATCTGTACAGTAATGTATATTGATGTATAAGTTTGTATAAACTTGTATATGAAATGTTGAATAATGTATACCAGTATTTCGCTGGAAAAAAAACAAACTCAGTGTTAATAGAAAACATAGAGAATACGAAGTAAAAGCAAAAAGAAAAATCTAAATAAAAAGTAACCAAAACAAAAGCAAAAGGGAACTGTGGAAAAACTAAAAATAAAAAATATGCAACAAAACTAAAATTACTATCATGAAAGAGAAACTTACTTAAAAAAAAAGATCAATGTTGTATAAGTATTTTCACACCTAATATACAATATTATACAACATTATACCCTCATTATAATTTTGTATAATATTGTATAATATTGTATAATGATGTAGAATGGTGTATACAAAACTGGATTTCATCTTGACCTTCCTTCTTCAACTAGTATGGTTCCCAAAACCAATGTTAATCAGACACAGTTAACCCAGCACTCAAGATTCTTATCATTACAATAATTTAGAGTTTTTTTTTTTTTAAAGAAAAGCGAAAATGGCTATCAGGGTTTCAATATACCTCAAAAGCATAAGTACATTAGGTGCCATTAGCACAAAAACACTAGAGAAATTAACTACAAAGTTCTGAAAAAGGGAACAAAAAGACGCAATAACCTAAGGCAAAGAAGATACACCAAAAGCTAAGAATGCTGAGACGTGCGGAATAAGCTTTTACTTAGATCTCTACCTCATCTTCCGGCACTTCCTCTTCAACCTCCTCATATGCTTCTTCTTCCACTTAGCTCTCATGGTGAATCAGCTACGCCTTAAGTGACTGCTCTTTACTTCGTGACCAGAACGAACTTGTCGTCACTTTAGATTAGATTTTCAAGCTCCTTCAATGGAGTTTAGAATTTGGATGCAACAAAACTTCAATTTTAAATTTGGACACACATAAATCGAGATTCAAATATTTGAGATCTATAAAAATTTATGAAGATTAAACAACTTAGTAGAGAAATTTGAGTTCTATAAATATTCAGATCTAAGTGAGTGAGAGAAGAGAAAGAAAGGAGAAAGCAAAGAGAGGCTGAGAGTATAGAGTGTGCCGTGGAAAAATGAAAATAAAGAAACCCTAAAAGTGTGTTTGTAATAGTGGCTAAAGTCTGAAAATGTTATTTCAGATTATATACAACCTGGGCTAAAACTAGGTAAGGACTTCAAACGTGGGCCATTTTCGGTTGGGCTGTTAAGCCAAGTGACAAGGGCTGAAATTATCCCGCTTATTTTTGGGTCTTCCTCTTGCTGCTAAATTGAAGGCCAAAGGGAATTGGCTGGGAGTTCTTGGCAGATATGAGAAAAAATTCTCTGAATGGAAAAAACTATATTTATCCGTTGGTGGGAGACTAACTTTGGTGAATGGTATGTTGGATAATGTACCTACCTATTTGATGCCCCTTATCCCCATCCCTTCTACTGTGGAAAAATATTAGATCAGCTGAGGGATAATTTCCCCTGACAAGATAATGCTACACAAGAAAGATGTGTCTAGTCACGTGCAACTTGTGATGATAAATAGAGAAGGTGGTGCACGGGAGTGAAGAACTCAAGCTTCAAATAAAGGTTTGGTGGGAGACTCACTTGGGTGAATGTTGTGTTGGATACCATGCCTACATCTTTGAGGCCTCATACTATTCTGTTCTACTGTGGAGAAAAGATTAAATAAGCTGAGAAATAATTTCCTCTGGCAAGGTAAGTGCTACACAGAATGAAGCATCTATCAATGGCAACAGGTGATGATACATAAAGAAAGTGGTGCCATCGAAGTGAAGATTCTCGAGTTTCAAAATAAAAGTTTGGGAGTGTATTTATCAAATGGCTCTGGAGATTTAATGATGGTAAAGCAGGATTATAGAAAGATGTTATTTTTCACCAAATATGGGATTGTAGATCATTGGACTCCTAAACTACAGCTATGCATAACAAATAACTATCTGGAAGCATATCTGTAGTTATTGGAGTGACTTCCAACTATATACTAGATTGAGTGTGGGAAGCCGTAAACATGTTAGATGGACATTAGAGTGCGCGCAAAAATCATACTTTATGTTAGTTTGGCTGTAAATAAAAGTTGTTTGGTGGCTGACTGTTTCTCTGAACCTAGATGGCATCTCAATGATTTGGAGATTGATGAGTTTGGTCTTCTACTAGAGGTTGTACAGTCTGTATCCTTAAATGATGAGAAAAATGAGTCACTGATCTGACTTGTCCAGTAAAAGGGGAGACTTTGCTGTTAAGAGCTACTGTAATCTATTTTAAAAATAAAATGGTTGCTGGAATGCTGATTGGCCTTGGAAACTTATTTGGAAATCAAGAGTACCTCCCAGAGTGGTTGTTTTACTTGAGTTTCAACTAGGAATACTTGTTTGACTCAGGATAATCTTCAAAGAATAGGATTGCCCTTATGCAGTAGATGCTTCTTCTGCAAAAGTTCTCAGGAGAGCAGCAGACAGTTATTCCTGCATTCAATCAAGTATGACTAATCTGCTCATTGTATTGAATCTTTTTGGAGTTAGCTGGGTCATGCCAGGGGATATAAAGAGCCTATTACTGTGCTGGAAGGGTGAGAAGATAAGCAAAAGATTGAAGACATTGTGGAAGACTGCTCCATTATGTAGTGGACTTTGTCTTTGAGAGAAACAAGAGATGCTTGAGAGAAAGACAAATAACGTTTCTATTGTAAAGCATATGTTTAATTTACAAATATATACTTTTGGTGTAAGGGGTCATATGTTCGATAGCATGTCACATTTTTTTCTTTTCATTTTTTAGATAGCATGGGGACATAATCAAAATTTGTAATTCCCTTCTTCTTCTACCCTTCATAGTACCTTCTTGGTATTGATTTTAACGGAATTTACTTTACCTTATCGAAAGAAAAAAGTTATTGTGATATGGAACTGATTCATTTGTTATGTCAACGTGATCATCTTCCCTGATAGATAATGAAGACTCTCTTTGAGATTGTTCTGTTTGAAGATTGTGGCAACCAGTGGAGCCTAAGTAGACCGATGCTGAGTATGATACTCATCAGCGAAGAGGTGACACTAATTTTTGTAGCATTTAGATTCCGTCCTTATTATTTCGAAAACTGCAAGATGCAAATGTGACTATGATACACACATACATATGTCTGTGCCGGTGTTTTCACAAAAGACACAGTATTGGGTTCTGTTAGCAAGTTAAATCACCAGTTCCACATTCTGAATTTCATTAAATTATGGTAGTAACAAAAGCAAATCATAACTATATCACACGGATGTTGATTGAATCAGCAGACTTAATCTTGCGTTTACAGTTGAGATGTGTTTGACTTTTTTTAAACCCTTCTACTAATTAGATGTCAGAAATAGTAGTTGTATCCACTGTGCTTGATGTTCTCCCTTTGCCTAGTCCATTGCTTCTTTCTAATAGATTGTCATGGTTTAATCCATGGAGTTCCGTTATGACATATTCTTTGTTAATCCACCTGCATCACAGGTTTATAGGAAGAAATCATTTAATGAATGCATTACATTGTAATAAACAGAATAATTTAGATATTAGAATATGCTTTATAGTGGAGAGGAATGGTTGTGTATTACTATACCTGATATGATTATGATTATGATTCATTCGCATCTTGCAGATGTTCTCAAACTTAAGAGCTCAGATTTTGTCTTCACAGGTATGAGAACTTGTTAGTTAGGGATAATTTATTTTGTCTATTGCTATAATGTTGGTCTATTTGGTATCATTGTTCGTAATCCTTCTTTTTTTTTTTATTTTTTTTTTACCATAAGGCGAAAAAGATGGATTGGTTGTATCAATGCACGTCTTCGTGGACTAATGATCTACTTCCTTGTGCTGACAGCTCCTCTTTATCCATTTTCATCTGCAGCCAACAGATCAGCAACAGCGTCTTTCACTGTGCTTTGACAAACTTATGGCTGATATAACTCGAAGCTTGGATCAGAAGAACAGGGATAAGTTCTCCAACAATCTAACTAGATTCAGGAATGAGTTCCGGACCAGATAAGCACAGTGATAAAAGCAAGTGGTGCATCCCTTGTACACAATAAACTTTCTCCCACCTTCCCAAACACATACAAAAAGAAAAGGGCACATTTACGCAGAGAGAACATGGGAAGGGAGAGCCAAGGAAAAAGAAACAACATCAAGAACATGTTCAAGAAAAATGAAATTGTGATGGTGGCTGAAGTTTTATTTCTTTTTTTATTTGTCCTCATTGGTGAAATGCATTCTGCGAAGTGCTTTCTGTCATTTTTTGCTAAATCCGTGCTGTAATTTCTATCACAACAGTGTACAGTCCAACTGAAGATCTTATTTTTGCTATTAGAAATGCAAAAGATCATTAGTGTTTTCTGACGAGAATTTGTAAATGAGCATTGTTAACGTGTTAGATTATAGGAATGTGTTGGTGTAATGGTACCACCAATGGGGTTTATTTCGCTTTACTTGATGCTAATAGAAGTAGAGCTTGTTTTGCCCTCACCTTCCTGAAATTACAACAGAGGATTCTCTTGTTTTCTTACCGTATTTTCGGGCTTAGATGATTGATAATGGGATTGTTTCTTTATCTTTCTCCGCTTAAATAATAGGTTTTTGTTTGTGGTAGGGTTTGAACCTATGACGTGCGTTTGATCTACCGCAAATCAAAGTCCTGGTCCAGGAGTCTAAGGTGAAACAATTTTTTCAGCTTTTCAAAAATAGTTTTTGCTTCTACTCAAAAATATTTTTCTTCCTTCTAAAGCTTGACCAAACACCTCAACTTTGAAAAAGCTTTTTTTTGACAAGAATTATTTTGGCCTCGAAGAAGCTTGGCCAAATATGCTAGTAAGCTCTATGGTTCAACTTTTTAGAGGTCGTTAGGTTGGGAAACAAGTTATTCCAGGATTAATTATCTCGAGGGTGTTATCCCACCCTCCTATAGGGATAAAAATAACACTTCAATCACGGGATAACTAGTCCCAAGATTAGTTATATTGTGATTTTATCTCAATCAAATGCAGGATACACTCATCTCAAATTTAATTTTATGATTACTTATCTCTTATCCTTTGTACCAAACGGGCCCTTAGGTTCTTAGCTATTTTTAAAACTACGGGTTCAGATCGATTGTTTGTTGCAATTCTAGTGAGTTCTTCACATAATTATGCTATGCGTCGAAAATATTGGATTGAATTCGATGCTGCAACTCTGGATGTGCCTCTATCCAACTAACTCTCCCCCCTCTCTCTCTCTTCTTATATATATATATATATATATATATATAATTCAACATTTCAAGATCCATCTCGTTTATATATCCCAACAAGGTTCCAAATATGGCTAATAACATGTAAGTAATCAAGAAGTCTCACAATCCAACATAGCATAAGAGAACAATACAAGAATTAAATAAAGATGAAATAGCACGAGCTAGTCAGTTTTTTGACTGGTCATTCAAAGATAGTCAGCGTTCGCAAAGTCATTTGAAAAGAGCCACTATTTTACTGCAACAGGGACCGGTCCAGCATAATATACTGGAGATCGGTACACCCGTGTATGAACTTTCAGCATATTATGCTGGAACTCCAACACACGAAAAGGTCCAGCATAATATACTAGAGATTGGAGTACCTATATATGAACTTCCAGCATATTATACTGGACCGACATATTATACTGGAACTCAAGTATATTGTGCTGGAGTTCTAGTATACATATGCTGGTACTTCATTATAATATGCTGGAGTTCCGGTATACTTATGCTGGAACTCCATTATAATATACTGGAGTTCCAGTATACTTATGCTGGAACTCGAGTATACTATGCTGGAGTATTTTCTGGATTTTGAACAGTGTTTTCATTGAGATTTATCTTTATATGAAAAGTGGCTAAAATTCGATTACTTTTGAAACTATGGCTACTTTTGAACGACCACTTGTAAATCTGGCTATTTTTGAATTTCTCCAAATAAAGACATGAATAAACTACTTCTACCTGCATGCGTTAGCCCATGACAAAGGCATACACACTCGTCACCATGATATACGCTACTCCCAATACGTTTAGCACATAGCAATTAAATAGTTACAACCTAATTCCCTCAAATCAGGGTTAACCACGATACTTATCTCTTTCCGGAACAAATCAACTCTCCAGTACCGTTTTCTCTAGAACAAGCCTCCAAACAACTCGAATCTACTCAAATAATCAAAACAAGCTTAAGGAGCCCTCCTAATACTAAAATGGTTCGGTCATTAACATATTTGGAAAGTCAACAAAAAATCCAAACCGGGCCCACTCGGTCAAAATCTGAAATCAAGAGCAAATCTCAATTACTTATTCATCCCCAAGTCCAAATATGTTATTTATTTCGAGATCCGCTCTCAATTCGAGGTCTAGATCTCCAAAATTCATTTTTTTAAGTCCAACAGAAAATCTTATTTTCTACTCTTTAATATCCTAGATTTAGGGATAAAAATCTGTGGGGAATAATGAAAATTAGTTAAAAAAGTTGAAGTTACTAACCTTTAAAGTTGTGAAGAAAATCCTCCCAAATCATTGTTGATACCCAATTTTTTCTTGAATATTTTTTATATGCAAAATACTTTCAAAATAGTATATATATGCATATATAAGCATGTCCAAGTGTTTTATTATTTTTTCCAATTTTTAATAGATTTTTAAACCAATTTATTGCCCTATTTTAACAGTACAAAACCAATAATTATTCCCAAAATTATAATTTTTGGTGATTCAGTTATTGTATTCTCATATTTATACCAAAATATAGCTCAGGTAATTTTTGCACATTTTTATAAATTGAATTGGTATTTTTAAAGCTAAATTGCATTTAATTGCAATATTAGCCTATTTTAAGAATTAATTGCGTTTATAATTACAAATTTGATTCGAGTATTTTTAATCTAATATTTATATACTATTAACTAATTTAGCACCTCTAATTTATTTTTAGAAATCATTTTACTATTTTTTATAAAATAAAAAGGAAAAAAGTGGCTATTTAAAATTTAGCCCTATTTCATTTCAATTTTAGCCCAAATTGACCCCTCATTTAACCCCAGTTTTAATCTCAATTGGACCGGCCCAAATCCTAAATTACCTGACCCCCTGACCCATTTATTTTTACCCGCCCGGCTCCCCTTTGATCCAGGCCGTTGATCAAAATGATCAACGTCCACGATTCCCCCTTGCCTTTTTAATTTTCCAAACCCCCCAACTCTAAGCCATTTCATCTGAGACGCCACCTTTGAATCCCTTCGTCTCTCAAACACTCTCGAACCTTCCCTGAACTCTCATCATCTCCCGCCTTGAAACTCACCGGAATCAATGGCTTCCCAGGTTGTGAGGCCCCTATACTCACCTCCTGTTGCTCCTATATGCTTGATACTTGAAGATTCGAGGCCAGACCTCGAAGGTCTTCACTTAGACCTTTGCCGACTCGAGGTTTTCGACCATCTCCGACCTTGCTCCGGCGTATCCTGGTCTTCTGAGCCTGATTCTAACTTCTCCGACTCAGGTCAATGACCTTTCAAAGCCTTTCACATTCTAGGGTTCTTCTGAAACCCTAACCCTTCGAGGTTTCTCCAATTCTTTTTTGATCTGTTGAGTATCTATGCTCTACTTGAGTTTTCAAACGATTTCCCTAACTTTTATTTTTGAAAATTACTTTCAAAACCCTTTTTTTCCGATTTAGGATTTTTCTGGAAAGTGTTTAAGTGTTTTATGATTTTTCTTCTTTGTTATTCGTGTGTTTGCTTCTGCTGTGTTCTCGTATCATCTTTTGTATGCTTCTCTTACTGTGTTTTCCTATACTATGGTCTCGTAGACTTCTCTACTGTATTTTTTTACCTTGTTCTTATATGTTTATCTTACTCTGTTTTCCTATATGCTTTTCTGCTATACTTTTCCGGTGTTCTTGTGTTCTTCTACTGTATTTTCCTGCTAAGGTTTTAAGTTTCCTTGTTTGCCTTCTACTAAGCCCTGTTTAAGTTTCTTCTAAACATGCTTTTCTACTGTTCGTATCAGTATTTGCCATTATGTTCTTTGAATCCTTCTACTGCGATTGCATGTTACTTTGCTATCATATTCTTCATAAGTTCTGTTGTTGAAGAAGCCTGTCCTTTTCTGAAACTTCTGAACATGATTTTGATTCAATTGCCTGCCCTCTCATCCTTGCTTTATGATTTGCTTGAACTAGGGTTTCATTTCGAAACCCCTAATTCTTTCAGATTGACTTCGAGTCTTTGAATTATGTTTGGATTTCTTTGTTTTCATATGACACTGACCTTTGCTAAACTCTTCTATACTGGACTTTCTACTGATTTACACGACAGTCTTCTTTCATGCTCACATGCTCCTTATATATGATGAATTTCCCTCTAAATGGTTTTCAAATTTGCAACTAGTGTTTACTTCCTTCTGAATATAGCTTGATTGATTTCTTTCCATCTTTTACTGATTTCCTATGTGACTCGACTTAGGTAAAACCTTTCTTCATCTTTTATGATTTGGTTCATTTATACCGAATTTCAGACGTTGTGATTTACTGGTTGTTAATTGATTCCCTTGCCTTATTTACACAAACCGTGTATTGTCAAAACCCTGCCCTTAAATGACCTTTATGTATTTGCCCTCAATTGCATGCTTTGCACAAAGTGTTTGATTAATTTCTTTCCTTAATTGGTTTTACCCGTTTGAATCTGAATCCTTTAATTAAGGGAAGCCTTGTGTGATTGATTGACAATCAGTTTTCAGATTATTTTCTTACCTTATTTCCTCATGACCTTCACACTATAAATACACTACTTTTCTTTCACACTACACACGATTTTAATAATCCTCCATTACTACAATTTACAATTCTTCTGAACTCTTACTCTCACATAAGAAAACTCTCTCTTCTTGTCTGCATTCTGACTTTCACAAGACTACTGCTTTTCCTATTTGTTTTCCTGAAACTGGTATGTCCTAATTCTAATTAACAACATCACCACAATGTGTTTACTTACGGCTTTCTACATCTCTGTCTCTTTACTACTTCTGCAGATTTAAATACTTAAACTAGCATGTTGATTTCTTTTGTTTGTTTCTGTTATGAACTCCTCTTCCCTATTCCCTTTATGTGTTTTGAGTTACAGTTTAAAAAATGGCAATATGCAAGTTATTGTCTATGGATTATACTTGATCCCTTAGGGGATCCTAACCTCTAAACAATATGTTCTAGTAGGCTTATGGGTGTGCCAGCATCTCTCATTGTTGGGTTATGCCCATTATCCTGCATTTATCTCTTACAATTCCCCATTCCTTATATCCCTGTGTGTACTGTTTCCCTTTCCCTTTTCCCTCTTGGAATTCTCCACTTGCACTCTCCCTCTTAGTTCCTAAGTTCTGTCCCCCCTCTTGTGAGCCTTCCTTGGGACCTTGAGTTCCCTCTGAACTTGGACACCTGAGGGCTGGCCCTTCCACACTGCACTTTGGTTTA